ATTTTTACACAAGGCAGGCAATGAGCAGATAACACATCCCTCAAAATTTCACATCGTTTCGAGCAGCGAGCTATTTTTAAAAATTCGAACACCGAACAGCAATTTACAAACCCGACAACTTCGCATTTAATTCACAACATAAAATTTCTCGTCCGAGGCCTTTTCATAAGACCAAGGACTCGACATTGTTCCAATATCCACCGACTTACACGACTTTCGAGGTCTCGTTCGATTCTTTAAAAAAAAAATCGAAGAGGTCCCAAACACATATACGGCACATAAAATCATAACTCTTACATAAAATCTCAACGATCACATTAACGCACAATATTCGCGTCTCGCAAATCACACATATACGAAAAATAACATAAACGATTAAACGAGACGAATCGACTAGGTACCGTTCTCGGAAAAGAGCTCGGAAAACGGCACAAAAAAAAGACGAGGCGAACTCGCGGGCTCAAGCTCGACGACAAGCATCGTCTCGCGAGGGAAGGGCTGTTCGTCGCTTGGATGCTGCTGCAAAGTCGATGAAGTTGCTGCTCATCGAGGTTGAACTCGCCGGAAATTGCTGTGCGATGGAAGATGAACTCGACTCGACGGAGCTTGTTGGTCGCTGCGGCGGTTCACGGCTGAGGAGTTGGCGGCTGGTTCTCGTCGGAAACGGCTCGTGGGCTGCTCGAAGGACGAACAGAAGTCGCCGGTACTCGCTGCTGGTTCACGGTGGTGCCGAACGGAGGTCGAGGGGCGCTGCGCGATCAGAAAAGGGAGCTCACGGCGCGGTGGACGAGCAGGTTGTCGGACTGAAGGAATTTCGACGTTGGGCCTGCGGAGGAAGGCACAGAGGGTCAAACCCGCCGGAAAATCACAAAGACGAGGTCGCCGGAGGTTGAGCTTGTCACCTGTCGTCGACGGAGAGAAAACGACGAAGAAACGGCGATAAGAGATTTGACGAGAGTGGGAGGCGCGATTGGAGATGGTGATGAAAGGGGGCGATGATCGATTTTGCAAAGAGAGATGACAATTTCTCTGATTTGCGAGAGAGATGAGATCGAGTCAAGGCTGCGCGATGTGATTTGTGAACCAAAGAAGAAAAATAGATACATACGGTATATATATGTATATCCTCAATCTAGGTTTTTTTTTTTTTTTTTTTAAATGTCTTTGCACACAAGACACAACACACACGCACAAAAGAGAGAGAGAGAAAAATCTGTCGGGCCGGGCCCAACTCGGGTCGCTGGCTATTGTGGGCCGGGGTATCAGTTCAATACATACAGTTCTCTCGGGCTCAAACTCTTGATTTATTTTGCCAAAATAAAATGGCTCGATTCGCGCGAATATTCTCGGGCTCGGTATAAAATTAAACGCACGATAAAATAAGCCGAATATATTTTACATATATAAATACATATTTACACATTATAAATAATAAATATAAATCATTTAGACATTTAGAAAATTAGCATTTAATCACAATTAGGCAAATAATATTAAGACATTCAATATTAATAATAATAACATCACAATAATAATAATAATAATAATAATAATAATAATAATAATAATAATAATAATAATAATAATAATAATAATAATTACTACAAATAAATCACAAATAAATGGGGCATTACAGTCTACCCTCCTTAAATGATTTCCGTCCCCGGAAATCCAAGAAAAATCGTCCCAACAGGACAACTGACACAAGAGAGAAACTCAAACCACTAGACTCGGATACTCGGTCCGAATCTCCCCACTCCACCAAGCCACACCGCACTAGCCACGGTTACCCCGCCGGACTTTGACGAGTACTTCTTCCGGACTCTCCCTGCTGGATTCGTCAACCCAGTAGGTCACCGGTACCTCATCAAAGGTAAGGTTCTGCCCACATGCAGCTCGTCAAAGATCGCCTCGTGCCTAGAGCCGCGCACCTGTCCCCTCTCCACAAGGCACTGAACAGGTCGTGCATTCTTGCAAGCTTCGGTGATGGGGTCAACCGTCAGGCTAAGACGCCGTCTCGGTCGAGAATCACGAAAGGACCAACAAATGTGGCTGATACTTCCTCTCTTTCTACAACTCAAGGCGTACAACGCCTCTTTCCGTACTCAGAACCTCGTACGGTACCATCAAGATCGTCGCCTATTAGCCATCGCTATAAGCGCCTTTTCTTATGGTAAGAAAAATCCACACGACACACCCATCGAGTACACCAGACTCAAAACCAGTCTCTCAGGGTCTCGACAGCATGTCCTAAACGCATAACTATCGGGATTCCCACGCGGTGCCAAGTTCAGTCTCGTGCCCGGGTCACGGTGACAACTTGCCCACGATCCCAATGTGAATCCGTGCGTCTGTATCAGACGTCCCACCACGGAATTTCATACAAAAAGGCTAACAAACAACAAAAACACCATCCTCAAAACTGATACCTTCAGAACACACGGTTCTGCTCGATATCGTTGACAAAGCCTCATTCCTTGCCCACACGAGTAACAGCTCGTATGCGGTTTAGGAAGTATCGACTAGACATTCGAAAACAACCACTATCGCAGAAACGGACTCTCAAATAGGGATGCTCGACGATCCAATTATAACGATCTAAATGACAAGGCCAGTCCAGGGTTTAATGCACTGTCACCCGAGAGATGTCATACACACTGGCGCTGCATAAGCGGGGCGCTGGGACGTGTGCCTACATCTGTTCGGAGAACAGCTGCAAGGTCAAGGTTTCGGCCACACACTGGCTCATGCGTTGGTGATGGTGGCTGCAGCTCTCGTGCTAGTCAACGATCGGCCCTGCAGTGCCTCACGTCTCTCAGCACGGGATCGCATGCTCGACCACCACTTCGCGTGACTACACCCAGTCAGCATCGGCGTTCGGTTCGAGATACAGAAAAGAATTACTCTAATTCAAGGTTCGCACTATCTCAGGTAGCTCGAAAGGAAAGGTTTTCTCAAAACTTTCAAATCGACAAACATTAGGGTTCAACAAAGACATCATCAAGCAGGTATCGAACACTAGAGATACGGAGGAATCTCCTAAAGAATCGAATATTGGTATCCTCAACTAGGAATAAT